TCCGGGTCCACTGGTAGAACCTCTTCTAACCGGTTCGGTAGATTTGACGAACCGGTTCTACCAAATAGGTGCGAACTGGTAGGAACCCACCTCTGATATATATATATTAAATATATGAAAATAGCACAAAAAGAGGGGAGGAAAAAGGGAAGAGGAAAAGTATAGAATAAAGGGAAAAAAGAAAACAGAAAGCATCAATTTCCTTTTGGGCATAATAGAATAACCTAATATACAGTGTCAAATTTTTAGTTTTACATCTATATATACATATATAAGCGAAATACCACTCGCGCATCATCACAAAATCTCCAGAACCGTAAAGCCTACAAACTTGAAATTTGGCACGTATGTTCCCCTTGGCTTCTAGGTGCTCGCTAAGAAAGGATATTTCAAAATGACCATCAGATCTTTAGTATTTCTTATACAGTAATTAACATGCAATTAACAGTTCTACTCCCCCTCCCCACCCGAAAAGAAATCTGTTCCAACTGCCATTTACCTCACATTCCGTTACCTCAGTTCAAACTGGCAGACGTTCCACTCCTTCACTCAGGAGCAGTCTGGGGTTCCTTATAGTACTAAACGTCGGTCCCCCACCAAAATGTGAACGCCTTCCACTTACGGATACTTCCGGACTCAAGGTAGTGGGAGCAATGTTCCCTTATGTGTTTCAATCACTGACTACCACTGAGCCAATTTCTTCTACATAGCCTGATCACATGGTTTTGTCGCGAAGCACGGGTATCCTGCTAGTAACAATATATACCGGCCACTCCTATAACGACAAACTTATTTAATCAGCAAAACCCAGAATCTAAGTTTCATTTGTTTCCTGTCTCAAATCCAGAAGTGGTTTCCAAGTGGAAATGAAACTAGATAGAAGTTCCTGTCTTTAGTTAGTTATTTTATTTATTTAAACAAATTGATTGAGCCGCCCAGCTTAAACCTAGCTGACTTCAGACAGTTGACAACACTTTAAAAAAAAACTAAAATATCATAAAAAGCCATTAAAAAACTGCCGTTAAAACACTCCCCATTTGCCGTTCTGTGCCAACTTCACATCCAAAATCATCACTGTTGTCTGCACCCACATACCCCTCATGACCACAACATTCTGGATTCTAAGTGAGACTGTTGTTAAGTGAGTTTTGCCCCATTTTACAACCTGTCTTGCCAACGTTGGGAAGGGTTTCACTGCAGTTGTTAAGCGAGTAACACGGTTATCAAGTGAATCTGGCTTCCCCCTTGACGCGGCTTGCCGGAAGATCGCGAACGTCATAAACGTGGGTCAGTTGCCAAGCATTTGAATTTTGATTCCGCGACCGCGGGGCCCCTCCATTTTTTTAAAGTTGAGTTTTTTCTTCACAGTTGCGCAGTTGTTTGGATCAAGAGACATACGACCTCTTCCATAAGAAGCTGACGGAACACGTCCTTATGCAGGACCCCAAGTTCCAGTGGTGCACCCATGTGAGTAGCAACCCCCCCTCCCCTCTCCGCGTTCGTTTTCTTTCCGAATGAAAAGAGAAAGGGGTGCTTTTAAAAGAAAAGGGAACTCCGCCCCTCCCAAAAGTCAGTGGATGACACTGGGGGGTGTCAAACTCCATTTCATTGAGCAACAGCAATAGTTAGACTTATATACCGCTTCATAGGGCTTTCAGCCCTCTCTAAGCGGTTTACAGAGTCGGCATATTGCCCCCAACAACAATCCGGGTCCTCAT